ATGCCATTGAGGCAGGTGTTAGATACAGGCAAACAGAGCTCAAGGTCCCCAGTAAGGCTCAGCAGAAAGGAACTAGTGTCAAGGCTTTGCAGTAAACAAGAAGTCTTATCCTGGACATCTGGGAAAATTCAATCTGAGGAAAAAGGGAGTTTTTCTTTTCCTTTGATCTTAGCTCGGCCATAGCCAACAGGCCCGCGCAGCAACTCCCGGCCACTTGAGTGGTTCGCTCCATTTTTGCGCTTATAAACCCTAGACACTGCAGCTCTAATGGTGTCCGCCCTTGGACCCCCTCCCGATAAGCGGGAGCTTTCCTTTCTTCTTTGGCCCTTTCACTAAACTTTACTGGTTGCTCCGCACTCTTGTTTGCGGGCTTCATTCTTCGTCACCTCCAAGGCACCATCCTAGGAAAACCAGCATCTCAGCCGGTAACATGTCTGGGGCTCCTCCAGGATCTCCTCCTGTTCTCGGCCACCTAGAGGGCAGCTACCATTCCCTGCTACTCTCGCTTTAATAAATTCCTTCCTTACCTATACTCGTCCGACCTGTTTGAGAATCTCCCTGGTCCAGAGTCAAGAACCGCCCCCGTCCAGGTTGAGGTTTCTCCTAGTGCTTCACCTAGTGTTCAGGGAGAGACCTCCCCAGAGGCAGCTGCCTGACAACACTTTTACCTACTCTCTCTCCCCTGTGCTAATACAACAGCCCCCTACTTGCATAGTTCATGTCCTCTCTTGCCCCTCTATAGTGTTCTCCCACAGCAGGCACAGTGTTTTTTTTTAAAATGTGGGTAAGATCTTGTCACTTCCTAGTTGAAACCCTCCAGTGGTTTCTCATCTCACTCAGAATAAACGCCAACTCCCTATCCTGGCCTTCAGGTTGGACAAGAGCGGGCCCTATCCACCTCTCTAATTTCACAGTCGTCTATTTTCCTGCTGGCTCGCTACACGTCAGCCAATAAGCTGCCTGTGAGGAGGAGTTAGCGTTGACCCGGCTAACTTTCCTAGCCCGGTGCGAAGGGCTCCCCACCCCCACCACACACCCGACGAGCCCACGGCCACTCCTTCCTTTGGCCCACCTCCGCTAAGCTCCGCCCCCGTGGGCTGGGCGAGAAGGCCTGCGTTAGGGGTGGGCGGGGCGTCTCGTGCAAAGAGTTCTGGGAGTGGTAGTCCACGTTCTTTTTGTCTCCGGCATTCACATAAAAGAAATAAACAACAATCAAATTAGAGACCTCTGAATTTTATACAAATTAAATAAGACGCATATTTGGAAAGCAGTGCAAACGACAGGCGTCTTCAAGCGAGAGGCACTAGTTTCTGACCAGGCGCTGCGCAGACAGCTGTACGGGTCCTTGGCCGGGCGGGGCCTACCGCGGTGGCTTGTGGCTCCTTTCCAGGCAGCTTCTTTCTTTCGCTCGGGCCCGAGGCGCCGCCAGTATGGGTGAGCTCTCCCAGGCCGGGCTGAAAGGGCCGCACGCAGAGCTTGGGATCCGGGGACGGGAGACACGATAGGAGCAGAGTGCTGAGGCCCGACGCCCCCAGGAGGGCCGATGGGGTAGGGCCGGGAAAGCGCCGCTCGCTGGGCACATGGTCCAGTGCGGAAGGGGCCCGTGCAGCCCCGAGGCCACCTAGCGTGTTACTGAGGGTCAGCGGGTGGCCAGCACTACTCCTGAGATTTGTGGCAGAGCTTCATTCCTTAGGAAAAGCGCGTGCATCGTTAGGCTTCTGTTCTGCCCTGAGTTGATAAGGGAAACTTTGAGGTTGTGACCATGTGCCAAGGTGTGATGCAAGAGCCTACCGGCTTGTAGTCCAGATGCAGCTAGTGCCTCAGAAGCTGTAAAATACGACTGGCGCGTTTTTGCGGGGGAACTAAGGGAACTTTGGTTTTTTTAGGCAAGTGTCGCGGCCTTCGTACCGCCAGGAAGCTCCGTAGCCACCGACGAGATCAGAAGTGGCACGATAAACAGTACAAGAAAGCCCACTTGGGCACCGCCCTGAAGGCCAACCCCTTTGGAGGGGCTTCCCATGCAAAGGGAATCGTGCTGGAAAAAGTGTAAGTAAAAGACTGCTGCTTCTTTGTCTTAACTATGGGAACTTGAGACAAGTACATTTCAAGAAATTGTGATGTAAACTTCAGGTTTTTCGAAGGTGTGTTGAAAGTTGTAACATGAAAGTTTGGGTGTTGGTTAGGTAACTAAGGTCTTTAATCTCTCAAGGTTGGCTTTACAGGATTTGTTGCGTTGGGGAGGGAGAAAACAAAGGACATTAAACATGTAGTAATGTTTTAGGCAGTTGGTACCAAACGACCCTTCAGTCTTTGCTAGCAATCACATCTTTCTACTTTAGAAAACTAAGGTAAAGAAGTTTCTCGCCTAAGGTTATACAGCTAAGATTAGGATATGTAAGATTGTCATTATTCCACTATTTTTGACTACAAAATGGTAAGTATGGTCCAGTCAAACTTGGTGGCAGTGAGGATATGATTCCAAACTTTGTACATTCTTGCTTTGTATTTTACAACTATAAAGGGGTTCCCCGCTTTTGTACCAATGAAATTAAGACTGATAAAAAACTTGGTTTGTGAATTTAGCAATTTGGAATTAAATCAGAAAGGAAGAAAATAATATAATTTCTAATGTATTCTGTACTTAATGAATTTATCCATTTACAAAAGGCTAGCTCACTCTGTTATATTGTTTATGTTTTAGAGGTGTTGAAGCCAAACAGCCAAATTCTGCTATTAGGAAGTGTGTCAGGGTCCAGCTGATCAAGAATGGCAAAAAAATCACAGCCTTTGTACCCAATGATGGTTGCTTGAATTTTATTGAGGTAAGTGTTTCAGTCTGTTGTAGGTTCTATTCCTGGGGTGGTTTCCCCAGTTTTTTGTGTGATGATGAATGGGTATTTTTAGTGTTCGCCAAATAAACTGTTGATTTTATTCCAGGAAAATGATGAAGTTCTGGTTGCTGGATTTGGTCGCAAAGGTCATGCTGTTGGTGACATTCCTGGAGTCCGCTTTAAGGTTGTCAAAGTAGCCAACGTGTCTCTTCTGGCTTTATACAAAGGCAAGAAGGAGAGACCAAGATCATAAGCTTTGATGGTGAAAACAACTCAGTAGTAATAAATTTTCATATGCTAAATTTAAGTGTCTGTCTTTACTTCAGAGATGAATTGTATTCTTTACCAATTTTAAGAGATTGGGAAAGTAGTTAATTCAGTATTTCCTAGTGTAAATGGAATTGTCAATAAAGTTGCTCCCTCTCCATAGAATGAATTAAATAAGTTAATCTGCAATAAAGGCACGTTATTTCTGTACAGAGAACCCTAAAATCTCACCAAACTTTAACAGGAATCATCATGGAAACCCTTGGCAATGTACATTATTGGATCCATTTCCCTGGTTACCCAGTTTTCTAAATACTACCTTCAAGTTGTTAGAGTACTTTGCAGGTGAGGATCAGGATCTGCTGTAATTCTGTTTAATAGCAAAGTTTAAGCATTGGATGGTGTAGTAGATAGAAGTTGATGGGAGTGTGTGGCAGGTAAACTAGGGCATGGGGGAAAGCCTGTTCAAGAGCAAGGGGGACCAGGCAGAGAAAGATCCATTTAAGTGTTCACTGTCCCGAGCTTTCTAGTAACTTAACGATCTTGTTTTACTTGAAGGTGCATAGACTAATGGAAGTGATGAGGTAGAAATGGTCAAGAACGGTTGTGTTTTGATTGTTGAAGCTAGAAGTTGGATATATGGTGGTTCACTCTCCACAAATCCTTGTTAGAAAATTACCATAGAAAAAGGTAAAATCTTGTCAAAATGAGACTATTAGCCTTAAATCTGTGATCTGAGGAACTCTGTTGGCAACATTAGTTCAGTTATGCTCTCTATCCTAATGTTAGGTCATGTTTACGATTTGGAAAAGGGAATTATGTGGTTTCCCATTTCCAAGGTTAAGACCAGAGTCCTTAACCGTGGTGCAGGAGATGGTGTCTGCTCCCTGTTGCTCCAGTGAAACTGACCTCTCACTTGCTCAAACCTGCCTTGCCAATCCAACTTGAGCCTGGCAGGGCCACCTGCTGCTCCTCCCAACTCAGAACTGAGTCCCAAACACTGCACACCTGTGCTTAGCGCTCACGGATGATTGTGGGATCATCTTCACGAGGGTAGAAAGAGACTGGCTCTTTAAATTGAAACATTGTGTAAATACTAAGGTGTTGAACATGTTAATTTGGTAATATTAATACATTAGAGTGCTGTTCTTGCTTTCCATCTCAGCAGCAGTCTCTAATTGAACAAAAAGTGGATTGGTTAAGCCAGTCCCAGAGGCTGACCAGGTGCACCTCCAGGGAGATGCCTGGCCAAGCGGTTCCATCCCTGCGGTCCGGCGAGGCGCGGGCAGCCCTCGCGAGCCGGTGGGGTCCTTGGACGGCAGGAGGCCCTCGGGCAGCAGGGCGGGGCGATGCCGACACCCGCCCGCCAGTCTCTGCACGTCCCCTAACTACGGTGTCGCTTCAGCAGAACTGACCGGCAAAGACCTACGGGCCTCGGAGTTGCGGCACCCTGCGATGGCGGCTTCCTTGTAGCCTCCTGGATGCACCCGGGATGCCCGAACTGCTATGGCTAAGTGACCTGCAAATCAATCTCGGGCATCTCAGACCCAAAAGTGAAACTGGCTGGGTGCCTTCTGCCCTCTGTGTATTCCTCCCACCCCACTGCCACCACCCTGTGACCCAGGACCCTTCATCCTAAGATCCAGCGTGAAGCCTGTGCCCGGCGCTGTGCTGCACCTGACCAGCGGGGCAGGCTGTGGTGAGAGGAAGTGCTCACCGTGGGTGAACAATTTAAGAAATCCCAGCAGCTTTTTTTTTTTTAAATAGAAAATCTAATTCCAGACTTTATATGAAAAAACAAAGGAACTAGGGCAGCTAAAACAGTATTGAAAATGAATAAAGGTAGAGGAATCACAAAATTTTGTTTTAGGGCTTAACTTGAAGCTGTAGTAACCAAGAGGATGGGGGTACTGGAGGAGACACACAGGTCAATAAAATAGAGTCCACAAATAGACCTGTACAGTTACGACCAACTGCTCTTCGAGAGATACAAAAGCAATTCAGTGGAGGATGGATAGCCTTTTCAATAAAGTGGACTTCCTGTTGCAAAGAAAACCCAAAACGGACTTTAACCTTAATCACATTATGCAAAATTTAATTCAAAATGGAACCTATATCTGAATGTAGAATGTAAAGATATAAAACTTGTAGAAGAAAACATAGAATATCTTCATGACAGGATTTGGTGAAGAGTTTTTAGACATTACACCGAAAGCACATTCCACAAAAAGATAAAATGGATAAATTGGACAACTAAAATTAAAAACTTGTGCTCTGTGAAAGATTTTGTTGAGAGGATGAGATAAACCACAGAGAGGGAGAAAATACTTGAAAATGACATAATCCAGTAGAAGATTGCATTCAAAATATATATAAAGTACTCTTTAATCTCAAAAGTAAAAAAACCCTATTTAAAATGGGTGAATGAATAAATCACAAAGATGACAAGCATATGAAAAGATGATCATCATTAGCAATTAAAATACAAATAATCATAAGGAAGTACCACTATACGCCTACCAGAATGGCTAAAATCAAAAATATAATACCAAATATCGATGAGATTACAGAAACTGGATATCATACATTGTTGGTGTAAATATGAAGTGATACAGTTACTCCAGTTTTTTGTAAGGTTAAACGTACCTACAATAAGATCCAGCAATTGCACTTAGGGGTGGTTATACAGAATTGAAATGTCTGCCTACACAAAATCCTATACACTCACATTCAGCTTCGTGATAACCAAGACCCAGAAACAATCCGAATGTCCTTCAGGAGACGGACAGATAAACTGGTTACATCCATAAATGAACTGCTCAGTCATAAAAGAAACTAGTGTTACATGCAACAACTTCTGAGGATCTCAGTGGTATTATAGGAAGTACAAAAAGTCAATCTCAAAAGACTACATATGTCCTGTATCATTTCATCTATATAAAACTCTTGAAATGACAAAATTATCGCCATGGAGAAGAGATCCGGGGTTGCCAGGGATTAAGGATGGAGGTAGTATCTCAGAGAGTCTCTGTGTTGATGAAGAGTTCTGTGTCCTGACTCCGACTAGTATCTCAGAGAGTCTCTGTGTTGATGAAGAGTTCTGTGTCCTGACTGTGGTGGTGTTTAAATATATCAGTACTTGTGATGGAATTTCCTAGTACTATATACTAAAAAAATTGTATATAAAAATTGGTAAACACAAGTAAGATCTATATAATTAACAGTGTTGTACCAGTATCAGTTTCCTGGTTTTGAAAATAATACTCTGGGTATCAAAGATGTTATCATTTGGGAAAGCTGGCATACATAAACTATACTATTTTTGCAACAATTTGTTGGGTCTCAAATTATTAATGAATTAAAACGTTTTGAAATATTGTGACTGGGTAGTTAATTTGTGCTACCTTTTATATTTGCCTAGCAAAGCCCAAATGAATCAGAAACTGTTAGAGCAGAATCTGGAGATTACTTAGTCCTGTGGTTCCCAAATCCAGTTCAAATACTCCTGATCTAGGAGACAATCTTTGTGTATTTCAAGAGAAATCCTTATTTTTGACAGGTGTCAGGCAGTCTTTATGTAAAAGTAGCTATCCCCTTGCTTTTCCCACTGCCAGGAATTGAGGGAATTCACATGCTACTGATCTTATCTTATTAAGTTACAAGTCACCGACTTCATAAGTTAGAGGTCCAGAAAAGGTAGCACTTAAGTAATTTTGAAAGAATTTGTCCAAGTAATTGGCACAGCTGAAATCAGAATAGTCTGTGCTTAAATTAAACTCTTCCTATAGGTGATCCACTCCATTGCAAAGCAAGAAACACTGCCTTACAGGTAGCTAGTTAGCCAAGTAAGGCATACATTTTGCTGGGTATTTATTAAGAGTTTTTATTTTATGCCTTCTGAAGGGTAGAGCAGTAATATAATATGATTAATACATCTTCTGTATAAGTATATATAGAAACATTGAAACACTCCAGTTGGTGATGTTCTGAAAAAAAAAAGATTGAAACTATTAAAGAAATACACAATACCTCAAAATATATGGATTTTTTTTCCTTTTATTTTTTGACAGAGCTGAGGAACACAGTTCTAATTTGACAGCCCTGCAAACTTGAATGTGTATATTTGAATATATGTTTCATTCTAGGAAAATGTCTGGTGGCAGAATTTGGCCATAATGGTCATGCTGTGGATAACATTCAAGGAGACTGTCTCAAGGTTGTCAAAGCACCTAACATTTCTTCATTGGCTTTGCAAGGTCAAGAAAAGAAACCAAGACCATAAATTACCATATTACAATAAAATTTTGACTAACAGTTACTTGTATAATCTATTTAAACCTATAAAATCTGTTCCAATGGGCCTCAAGTACTAATTCTCATTTATTATGACACTGTAATTGGGGGATTGTCTTGGCAGGCTTGCTGAGCAGTCTTAGATTCTGCACAACTCTTGTCCATATTGTTTGTTAAAGCAATGTTATGTTTGTTAGTATGCAAGCAAAAGAAGTGGATTTTAAACCTTATTGTCATGGTAATGTCTCCATAAGGAGTTCTAGAACAACGCATTAAAACATTTAACAGTTAAATGTTTTGAAGCATGAATTGTCTCACAGAAGAAAATCATTTTTAGAGTGACACAGCTGAAGGTCCTTATCAGTGACAGGTAACTAGGATTTCCAAATATGCACACATACAGTCGCTGCTTCATTCAGACTGTCACTTAAGCCTTTAATATGTGCATTGTACCTTCAGTAATGTATGTGGCATGTACCTTCAGTAACGAGGGACACACACACACACACACACACACACACACACACACTCAGAACTTCAGCCAGGCATCATGAGCGCATCGACATCCCTTCCTTTAAGGCACTGACTGTGCTTCCCACACGGCCTAGAGCTTTCAAACAGCAATTCAGATCTGATGCCCAGGAGACCTCCTCCAGGAGGGGGCAGAGGCAATCATGGCCCAGATTTCCCCTTCAGATATTCCAGTCAGAGATGTGCCAGCTCCCTCCCAGGTCCTTACCAGTGATGCGCTTCATTATTTGTGGTAATGAGTTATTGACATGAATTCCGTTCTCTAATCTACTTTCAGTGTAGGAGTTTTTGTTTGCTTTTTTAAGTCAGCTTTCTAAAACCTCTCACTCTAGTTAATTAGAAATAGAATAAGGGGTCATGTTTCTTGGCTGGGTTAACAGTGTAGGACATACTGAGCATACCAACATTTTCAAATAAATTTAGATGCTAATGAATATATTAAATGCTTTTTTTAAACCTCTTTTAGCAATCAGCCAGTGTATAAATCTGCACAATAGTGGACAGAGTAAGCCACATTTTAAATAATTTTTCATTTCAATCACAGCTGCAGTTGAAAGTAATATTACTTGCTGAAACATGTTTTGTACATTAACACCTGCTTTGGAGGTTGAAACAGGTTGTTTTGTCATATCTTTTTTCTCCAACATCTTTGTGAATTTATTTGTCCAGTTTTATTATGTCATTATAATAAGTTTTTTTAATATAGTTTGTTGGCTTCAGGTGCTGTTTTGAGTGTCTTTGTAGGTAAAATAGGACCACTTTTCCCCTCAAGTTCCCAGAAGTTTCCAAGTATTTCCCCAGCCTTTTAGTTTCAGTAGGCAATAGTTGATTTTGTCCATTCTGTATTTTATACATTTTCTTATGCTTATATTTAGGTAGTTTTTTTTTCTGTCGCTACACCCCCTTCCTCTTCCTGCCCATCACAAAATGTGGTGTGTGTGTGTGTGTGTGTGTGTGTGTGACACAGTGATAGAAGAATGCTACTGTGAATGGTATTTATTGACCAAGATTCTTCATCTAGGATTTGTCCCTATATTTCAGAGGGTCTAGGAAACTCCTGAAACTGTACACAAAATTTTCTGATATATAAATGTGCACATGTGTATTTGTGTGTGTGTATGCATATAACATACACATACTTTTTTCAGAAAATGGATACTACAAATTTTTCAGACTTTTAAAAAGGTTCCTCCCCAAGAAACCAGCTACTGTTTAAATCTGTACAACAGGGAGCAGATTTAGTCACGTAGCACACAATTTTCCATTTCAATCACACCTGAGGACAGTCATGAGGTGTTGTCTATGGTTTGATATCCTTTATGAAATGTCTCCAGTGTGGTGAGGATCTGTGGATAGATCATCCAATCTGCAGAACTTGCAAAATGCACATTTCATATTCTGCTTTGATGGTACTGGCTGACCTAATTATGGAACAGTGGACCATTTTAGAGAAAAGTTCCTCAATGTCACTGGTAAAGGAAGAATCAGAAAGAGGGTGTAAAGCTCACTCTCAGGAATAAAAGCAGAGAAAAAAATCCCAAAGATGTTTTATCATCTGAGACTGGAGTAAAACTTGCTAGATTTTTAAAAAAATGGTCAGTATGCACCTGTAAAAACAAATGACATAATGCCTGAAATTTGCTTTAAAATATTTGAGCAAATATAAGGTAAAAAAAGGAGGTTAAATGAAACAAACATGGACAAAAATCTCAATAATTACTGATTCTGATTACAAGTATTTGAGAGTTCATTGTATTGCTTACTTTTGAGGATGTATAAAATGTTAGATAATAATTTTAAAAATTGCATGCATATCTTAATTGTTTAATTCCATGCCTTCTACAACTAGTTCATTGACAGTAGGCTCTGATAGGAGCAAATGGAGATGTGGGGTAATCAGATGGATAATAAAGAAGCTGGAAAACTAACCTTAGCAGCACTAAGAAATATATAACATACTGGGAAGACAAAGCTGAGAATCCTTGCAAATTTTAGCAAGACAAGAACAGAAAAATGTTCCATTTTATGTCTATGATTAATATTAAAAGCAAAGTAATTTTCAAAGATTTTAGGAAATGGTAAAACAGACTGCTGCTGGTGATGTAAACTGGTATAGCCTTACAGAGGAACAATTTAGCAACACGAATCAAAAGGTCTTAAGACACTCCATATCCTTTGATATGTTCATTCCCTTAATAACAGTATATAACCCAAAGAAACAAAATGTGAGCAACTGTTCCTGCACACATTTCTCACTGGATTACATTCTGAAAGCTCTGGGGGGCTTTGTCTGCCTGGGCTTTATTCTAGCACAGGTCCTGACCATGCAGGAAGTTAGGTACTCAAGGAATGTATGTTAAATTGATGGCAAAGGATGAGAAACAACCCAAAAGTCCAATGACAGAACTACTTAGTGTATTTTGATATAGAAGAAACAATAGTCATGTTAAGTTGTTTTTGAAAGAATATTAAATGACATGGAAAACTGTTGCAAATATAATGGGAAATGGGAAAAGTTGCACTGTAAAACCATACACACAAAGATTCTAATTAAGTATCTTTAAACTAGTACAAGGAAATACATTAAAATTTTAACTGGGGCTATTCCTGGATGATATACACTTAAGCAATTTTTAAATTTTCTCTTTCAAATGTTTCTGTGATTTCCAAATATCTCTAAGGACTAAAATCTTTAAAAATCAGTCTTTAGTTTCACAGCCTCTGGCTAGATAGGTGTAGCTATACAAAAGGAGCCAAAATCTCTGATTACTTCCTATCCGTGTTCCCAGTCTCCATCCTCTTGAGATAACTTTTCTTATGAGTTTGGTGTATGTCTTTGGGGCTATATTTCATGTTTGTACATATCATGTACCGTATGTATACTATAGAAAGTGTGTGATATTTGTGGACTATTGATACAGTGTTGTGTGCATAGTTAACATCTAGTTTTTGTTCTCTGTTTTAACTCAACAGTCTATGAGAACTGACTATTTGGATACATGGATATTGAATTAGTTTCCCCTAATGTCTCTGTAGGACCACATTTTATTTAGCCATTCATTTCCTTATCCCACTGAAGGAGAGAGCTGAGGAGACCACATCCCACTCTGCTGCTGGCATTAGGTGAAAGGAATCTTGAGGATAGAATGGGTGGCAGTTCCCAAAGGAGGAGAGCAGGTCCAGTCCCTGGTGTCTGCAGAAAGGAGACCATGGGAGCCTTACCCTGGACTCAGTGATCATCCACATGTGCAAACATTCCACAAAAATTTATTGAGTATTACCAAGTGCCAGAAACCATGTTAAACCCTAAATATCTGGCATGCATGTATAAATAACAAGGCAAAGGTTGTGGACATACTGGACTGTGATTCCCTGTTAGCCTATCAGAGCACACTTTGTTCAACTTCTGCCTCATAGTTGGAACAGTGATTACTGGTTATTTGAAAAGCTCCAAAGTAATCTAAAAATCAAAATGCAGCCATAGGCTTCATCTATTATCATGTAAAATTTATTTGGATGTAGGGATAAATGTGAGTGCCTAGTTATTTTTAAAAACTTAACAAACAAAAAAAGGACTTGGTGATCACTAAAATCACTCAGCTCTAGTGGTTTGGAATATAGGGTAGTTGCAGTGGATTCTTTTACCACTAGAGGTCGCTACTGACAACACTGAAAAAATAAAAGCGAGGGCTTTGCATTACAGTGCTGCTTGAAAGAACATTATGAAATTTAAGAATAAAAATCTGAATGTACCTTTACAGACAAGCCCTTTAAAAATCCAGAGGGTTATATGTGGGGATATATGTGCTTGTTTAAGTTGCACATGTTTAAGTGCTGTTGGCATAATCTATATCCTTCTAGAACAACCTTCAGCAACTTCCTTGTCAGCAGCATGAGGGAAAAGAGGGTCTTAGAAGGGAGCTCCTTTGTTCATCAGTTTTCAAAACATCTGACTGTTCTCTGGAGTTAAAAATATATTTACATCACAACCTAGTGCATGCACACACACACCCATTGATACAATTTTATATATATATATATATATATATATATATTTGAAACCAAAGTTTCATGAAACAATATCCTTACAATGTACAATGCACTTTAAAAAAATTATTTGTGAAATAACAGAAAACACACATACTGGTCTCTGCCACTACCC